TCAACTAATCAACTAATCAACTAATCAACTAATCAACTCATCAACTCATCAACTCATCAACTCATCAATTAATCAATTAATCAACTTATCAACTAATCAATTAATCAATTTATCAACTAATCAACCAATCAATTAATTAACGAATCAACTAGTCAACTAATCAACTAATCAACTAATCAACTATTCAACTAATCAACTAATCAACTAACCATCTAATCAACTTATCAACTAAATAACTAATCAACTAGTCAACTAATCAGCTAATCAACTAATCAACTAATCATCTAATCAACTTATCAACTAAATAACTAATCAACTAATCAACTAATCAACTAATCAACTAATCAACTAATCAACTAATNGGGATATTTGATTTAGGGCATAAACTACTTTTATTATTATTATAATGGATACATAAACCAATGTTCCTCGCTGCCCTGTAAGATCCCAACTGGAAACCATAAATAAAAACTCCTAACTAATTAGATAATATGATTGCCCCCATAAAAGAAACTCTGGTTCAATTTTGAAACTCAATTTAACTTAATGATAATTCTGTAATTACATTTTAGTTGTTTGATCAATAGAACCATGTATAAAGCATAGAACCATGTATAAAGCTGAGACACAGGGAGAACCTGCAAACATGATAATTTTATTATGTTTTAGTAAAAAGGGGTCCCACGAAACATAACAGTTGAGAGTTAAAGGTCGTCTTTGATCTCAAAATTCATTCATCAGCCTAATTTTATAAGAAAATGTAGTCTGCCTTTTTTTGTACTGGATCAAAATTACCAGAGATATTAAGAATTTAATCAGGAAAGAAGGATCTTTTACAGATCTCACTCCTGAGAAAGAAAGATTTTCTAGAGATCTCCTCCCTGAGAAAAAAGGATTATTTAGAGATCTCTCTCCTGAGAAAGAAGGATGTTCTAGAGATCTCCCCCTGAGAAAGATAGATCTTCTAGATATCTCCCAACTGAGAAAGAAGGATCATCTAGAGATCTCTCTTCTGAGAAAGAAGAATCCTCCAGAGATCTCCAACCCGAGAAAGAAGGATCTTTAAGAGAGTTCCCTCCTGAGAAAGAAGAATAATCTAAAGATCTCCCTCCTGAGAAATAAGGATCCTATCCCGAGACAAAAGGATCCCCTAGAGATCTCCCTCTTAAAAAAGAGGATTCTTTTAGAGATTCCCATCCCGAGAAAGAATGTCCATCTAGAGATCTCCCCTCTAAGAAAAATTAAATCTTTTAGAAGCCTCCCCTTGAATAGAATATGCAGTGCCGAGGGGAAAATGGAATCATAAAAGTCCTGTATGTTATGTAGTCAAGTATGATTACAGTGATCTTGTGGTAAGGAACTGGGGTTTAGGCTAAGGAGAGACGAGCTATAGCTAAGGCATTGGCCATTTTCTGTTGTGCGCAAATGCCCTTTAAAATTCCAAAACAGGGAGAGGGGGATTGAATTTTGTAGATCCGGAAAAATAATATTGTTGACTTTAAAAGTCAATATGATAAAATAAAAGAGATCTAAAGGTATTTCTAATCTTTATTTATTAAAAACAATAGGTTATGAAATAGTTTCCCAAGTGGGGTTAAAATTGGTTGGTTTAGAAATTAATAAAGAAACTATAAATTGGCAATCAGTAGCAACTTAAGTGAGCTATGTAGAACTTCATGTTGGTAGTGCAGATCAACTAGAACTGTAACAGCAGGTTTCTGCTCTCTCCAGGCTTTCATAGGATATATAATCCCCAACAAACTTCCAGGTTCCATTAGGAAACTCTTTAGAGTTGAGATTATCCTCTTGTAGAGGAGAGTGGGTGAGTAGGCCCGTCGGAACTCCGGGGAGGAAACTAAATTCAGTCCAGATAATTCCTTTCCGTTCGGCCACAAATGCTTAGAACTCTTGGAACATTTTGATGGGCTGGATGTAAGCATCGTCTGCTGCTGCTCAAGTATCTATATTAACAACATGTAGGAGCCAGGGAAGCTCTCTGAGACTGAGTTGTGATCATCTCGGGTGTTTTCGGCTGACTGAATACCGGGAGCTGGGATGAGCGGGGATTTGACATGTGTGGTGTGCTTGCTTCATTGCGGAAATGGATCCTGTGTACACACACATCTAGAGAATTAACAGAGGCATTTGAGTCGGTACAATCGTCTTCCTTATATTTCGAATTTATGTTAACAAATATCTGTGGGATGCCTGCGTAGAGACTGGCAGCTGGTGGGGTCTTAAATTTAAGACATGTGGCCACAGCGCTTGGCCCCAAGCCTGTCCTAGCCGCAGCGCTCAGCCCAGAAAGTGTCTTAACCTAACCTAACCCTAAATAAATACTAATTTATTTTTTTTGATTTATTTTTCTGGATCTACAAAATTCAATCCCCCTCTCTCTGTTTTGGAATTTTACGGGGCATTTGCGCATAACAGAAAATGACAAATCCCTATAGCTAATGTCGCGTTACATTGCACTAAAAACAGAAAGAAAGTTTGGGATCCATTTAATAACCATAAAACGTTTATAGGGTGTAATGATCACTGAGTATAGGCTTAAAATTAAAGTGGTGTCCTTTACTTACAATTTAATAATAAGAAAAACGTAACAAAACTTGTTCTTAAAACTAAATCGTTGTTTAGGAACAGGTTGAGAAAATTAAATTAACTATTGTCAGAAGAAATTTAAGAATTTTATTCAGTTATCAGTTTCTGTTTGATTTTTCCCAAACGTTTCATGTAGAGTTCCTTGATTTATTTCGAGAAATATGTTCCTTAAACAACAAATTAGTTAACGGAAAATTGTTGTTACGTTTTCGTCCGGGTTATTAAATATTTGTAAAAAGATGTTTCTTCTAAGGACACCTCTTAAAATATATTGTCTGGTGAAATTTGGCAAATGAATTTTTACTTAATACTTGAACACTGTAAAAACGTTTTATTCGTATAAATAAAATTAAGTCCGATCGGTTGTCAAATTTGTTTGGATGAAAAATCTAGAAATTACAGCAGACTGATCCATAAATCCAAACGATCGTTGATGATTTAAAATAGTTTGTTTTTGTGTTTTCTTCGTTCGTTTTTTATTTCTCTGAACGATCCTTTTTCCAAACACCATCGGTCACGAAAAATTTCGTTTGTTCGTAAAAACAATTCCCATCTCTACCTCCTAGATTTCTTCGTTTCCTTGTCCACTAAGATTGTGTACTTTCATAGCAAAACGTTCATAACACCCTCAGACTGCATTTTAGGTTTGTATTAAACTGGAAATCAAGGAGTATGAAATAGAAGGGAGATACGACTGACGCGGACCGCCCTACCATATGTTTTTACATGGTTTGCAGACGGTACTCCATTTGTATCAGAAATATTTGTCTGATGTACAAATGCCGCATATACATTAACCTATTCTGAATATTTCTTATACAAATGGAGTACCCGTCTGCAAAGCATAATCATAAGGTAGGGCGGGCCGCGTCAGTTGTATCTCCCTTTTATTTCATACTCCTTGCTGGCTATCCAAATCTTCAGTTAGTATATATTATTATGAAGATTTGTATTGTTTACATACACCAGGTTCAGGACAAAGCAAAATCAAAGTTTATGAGCTAAAAGGTCCAAATCTATTTTGTTTACCTCAATCTAATTTTGACCAGACAGACCAGACCAGATCAAACACAAATTTTACATCTAAACTTTAAGTAAAAATGTAAGAGCGCCCACGCCAGTCCCACCCAAAGAGAAGGTAAAGCTCAGAACTATGCAACATTACTATCCGACCTCGTAGCTCTTGTAGTATTTAATTTCAAGCACTGGAATGAGGAGAGTACTTTTATCCGGTTATATATCAGCCATTCAAAATTCTTTTTTTAAATTGTATTTTATTTAGAAATAAATTATTTATTTCGAGACAACTCCAATAATGTTTACAATTTACAAAATCATAATTAATCATAGTTTTTATATAAAACCGGATGTATATAAACAGGAACTAATGGTCCCGGGGTATTTCACTAACAAACAAAAAATATCACAAATTAATTTAATAAATCTATTTTCCAAATGAATTTACTTTAAGACAATAATAATCTCAAATTTTTCAGGTTTTATATAAGTTCAGGGGTGTATGTTTTCTCAAAAAATGATTTTTCTTCCCACTCCCCCTCTTTTGACAATGTTTTATCCCCAAATTTTTTTGGGGGGATTTTTATTATCTGAAATAGGAAAAATCATTGAATTTTTGGGTACAAAGTATCAAAAAGAATAAAACAATTGCCTACAGATGTCCATTTTTGTCATTCCCGTAAAATTCTAAAAAAAAACACCCCTGGCCCTGTAAAAGTTTTTTAGTACTAATAGGGATATTTGATTTATACAACAATTTGGAAACCACTTCCTCGCCCAAACCCACCGGAGTATATGAATTGTAAATAAAGAACTTTTTTACAACAAACAAATATTATAATTTTTTTTTGAAAAATTGAAAAAAAATTGAACAGGATGACTTGTAATATAATATGAGTTTGTTAAGGTACAACTTGAACTAACATTAGAAATAGTCCACCATGCAGTACACTGTACATTTAAATATAAATGGAAGACGATTTACAAAAAATGGCGCTGAAGAATATATAGTAGAATGCGCGGCATGCAGCAAGGTAGATTTTTTATTTTTATTTAAATTTTGTGATTAAATTTTAAAATTAAACGAGGATAAATTTGCTTCAGCAGAATTTCATAATCTTATTTAACAAAATATTTTGAGTTGATAAAAAATAAAATGAAACGTTTACTATTACGATAATTTGCATTTGTCGACAGTATATTATGCCATGAAAAAACATCTCTCAACACAAATAGGATTTCATTGAAAACACAACGGTATCCAAGATTTTTAGAATATTTTTTAGAATGAAATACTCTCATATTTTTTCAAAACAAAATGGAGAATGGAGGTTTGAGAAATCATAAAAATTAAGGGGATATCAAAATATTAGTTGGACTTGACATGAAATGCAAATTTATAAATCTACGAGATATGGTTACGGGATAAATAAAAAGGAAGGCGCCTCTCAGTTTTGTTTCAGTTTACATCACAATATTGCAAACAAACTTACAGATATATTAAAAATTTTGAATCATTCAATGATTAGTAGAGTTCTCAACTTCCTGAACAGAAAAAAATATAAAAAGTAAACGTTAGATTTTGTATTAAAAAAACGACTGTAAAATCGCGTTAAACGATCCTATTTATCGAATGCCAAGTAAAAAAAGTAATTCAAAATGTCAATATTTTAACAGAAATCAGAAAATCAAATTTCTTATGAAATCTATAAGCTTATCATTGCATTGAGTATGATAAGCACGATGATAAAGACGATTTAAACATTTTTTCATGATTCCCCTGAAAACTGGTTTTATCCTGTACTAACCGGTAAAAACTTGGAGAAATCCGTATCACAGTCTCGTAGAGCAGACAGAGCCAAATCCAGCTCATCGCCATCCTTTCTTCCCTTCCCCTCATCCTCCCCTTCCAGTCCTTCCTATAATATATTCAGGTTTATTCCTTCTTCCCTTACAATCCTTGCTATAATATATTCATGTTTATTCTTCCTTCCCCTTCCAGCCCTTCCTATAAGATATTCATGTTTATTCTTCCTTCCTCTTCCAGCCCTTCCTAGAATATATTCAGGTTTATTCTTCCTTCCTCTTCCAGCCCTTCCAATATTATATTCAGGTTTATTCTTCCTTCCCCTTCCAGCCCTTCCTATAATATATTCAGGTTTATTCTTCCCTTCCACTTCCAGCCCTTCCTATAATATATTCTGGTTTATTCCTCTTTCCTCTTCCAGCCTTTCCTATAACATATTCAGGTTTATCCTTCCTTCCCCTTCCAGCCCTTCCTTTAATATATTTATGTTTATTCTTTCCTTCCCCTTCCAGCCCTTCCTATAATATATTCAGGTTTATTCTTCCTTCCCCTTCCAGCCCTTCCTATAATATATTCAGGTTTATCCTTCCTGTCCTTCCTATAATCAATTTTAGTTTGTCCTTTCCTTTCTAATCCTTCCTATAATATATACTAGTTTATTCTTCTTGTCCTTCCTATTATTATATTCCCTTCCTGTATGCTAAATTACCTGAAGATCCAGAAGATCTAGGTCTTCATTATCTCCTCCGAACTCCTGAACAGATATTCCAGGTCAAAAATAAATATGAATCTGAAATCTATGTTTACGCAAATTTGTTTATATTAGGTTAAAACAAAAATCTATGTTTTAAGAGAATTTGATTATACACTAGCTGAAGTGCCCGGCGTTGCCCGTAGAATAAAAAATCGACATTTGAAAAAAAAATTAGATTTTTAAAAACAATTTCAAACATTTCGGTCCAGCTATTTGGCGAGCTATAGCTAACATATATAATATATATTTGTAATGTATAATTAAAATACCTATATCTTTGTATTCTGTAAATATATAATGATTCGTTCTGAATAACTACCGTCAGTCAACTTATTCTTACCTGTTCTATTTATACCCAAATATAGTTCAAAACAGACTCTTGTTATTTACAGATCATATATACCTGGCGAGGTAGGGAGGACAGAGTTTGTGAGAGATAGATGCATTTAAGCTGATAAAGACATTGATGGAGTTTGGCATTTCTTACATATATATGAGCAAAGAGCTTTATTATAAAGAAATCAAAATGTTTATACGAGCGATGAGCTTTATCTTATAGATATAAAAATATTTATATGAGCGAATAGCTTTATTATATAGATATAAAAAAAATCTTTATGGGTGAACAGCTTTCTTTTATATATACCCAAAGGTGTACAGATTCTCTGGGTGATGTCAACCCCTTGAAATGGAAAAGGATTTTTGTTCTAACTTGATGAACTTCGGTGGAAGTAGTTTTTTTCTCTCCAAAAATCTCGATTTTTGTTAAGGACAGGGGGTCAATTCGACACTTTGTGACATTAAATTTTGTACAAGCTGCATTTGGTTCTAAATATTAAAATAAAAGGCTGAAATTTTACAAACAACCTGCCATTGTGACCCTCTTCCCGGATGACAAAGAAAATTTGGGATCAGAGGTCATTGACCTTCACACCAAAAATCTAAATCATGCCGAAAACCTGAAAACGACTTCCACCTGACGCAATGCTTCGATCAACCTAATTTTTTTTAAAATGATCATTTTCGGCAACATCGCTTATAGAACCTGATCACCCCAAAAAATTGTTTTAATTTCATTCTTGAAGGAAAATTTCATCATTATGCTTAACAGCTTTCATTATTACGACTTCATCTGTGTATTAAATTGATGAATAAAAAAAGCCTTACCGAGTCTAGGTTCTGGGTTCTATAGGAGTTGGTGACAGAATGGCTTAAGCTTTCCACCTGAAGTAACAGCTTATTTGATTTGAATTATTTGTATTTGCCAGAAAACTGGCTATTAAAGGGAGTGTTCACGAAATAGGAAAGGGGGTAAGGACCAAATCCGAATTATATTTGGATTAAAACGCTACTAATTTTACTTCTAAAAAAGGTGGAAATTGGCTGAAAACGCTTTTTGTTATTGTTATTGTAAACAAAATTTGGGGGATACATTTTTGATTCAAGGGACGTAGTTTACCCAATACTGGGAACATTAATCATTCATGTTCAAGGATTGCGATACATTCATTTTTAATTGAATTTCAGATTCATAAGAGGGGGGTAGCTGTGTAAGGTGGAGAGGGGAGGGTGATGTAATTACCTGGTATGAGTAAGGTTGATTGTGGATTTGTTGAAGAGTTGACTGATTATGCAACCCCTGGTGGTGGGGGGAGGGGGAAGCATGCATCACCTGGTGGTGAGGGGAGGGGGCAGTGTTCATACTAGACTCTAGAGGGGAGGGGACAGGAGGCTGACTAGTTGTGTATGTAGTCTGGTAAACGTCCTAAATTATATTTGATATTAAATATGGAAGAAATTTTTTTTTAAAAATCCACCAACCACAATCACAAGATTTTCTTTTCAATCAAAAAAATTCCCTAAATATGCAATGAATAAGAATTTTATGGCAAAAATAAAAAAATCCAGAGGTAAATATTTTCCAGAAAACTCATTTTATAAATATATAACCAATGTAATTTTCTAGGGAAAAAGTATAAATTATCTTCAAGGGACTTAAAGCTTAATTTCAAGTGACCCTCTATTGAAAGATGGCAATCGACGATTCACAACGGTACCCTTCAAACCTTTATCGGATTAGTAATAAACTGTAATTTTTTATATTAATAAGTGATTGATTCTGATAATTTCTATACGATTTCCTGCAGTAGAAATGCACAAGTTACAATCCAAAATACTAAGATTTTATAAAGATTGATAACATGTTGTTGCATACTTGATCAGACAAAGTTTTAAAGGGTACCGTTGTTAATCAGGCATTGGCATCTTAGCATGGAGGGTCGTTTGAAATTACGCGTACAGTCCCTTTAATATTATAAACAAGATGTTTTACCTCGTTGTGCGAATATTCACCATTAGACGGCCAACTCGGCCTAAAATAAAATCAAATCAAATCAAATCAAATCAAATCAAATCAAATCAAATCAAATCAAATCAAATCAAATCAAATCAAATCAACTCCAAACAGGGACAACCCTTCTTTTAGCAACAATTGAAAAATAACTATTGTAATATAAAAAACTTTTGGGATATGCAATGAAATATTCATAATGCTATTCAGAAAATACACACATACAGGGGACATTAATTCCAAAACTAACACTAGGCCCATTTCTAACAATGAGTGTTAGAAAGTCTGCAAAGTTATCTTGTCCAAGCGTATCTATCTTGAAATATAAGCCGAGTTGAGCAAAACAACACCATACATTTATAAAAAATGGCTAAAACTATTTATTGAAAGAAAAAATGTCGATTTTAAACTAATAATAAGGTGTGAGAATTAGTTTTTGATGATTATTAATTTCATATGTTCTAACATAACCCTATTTTTAAACAATTACCGCATTTCAGCTAATGTCGCGTTTCTGGAACATAACCTGGTTTTGAGACAATTACTCGAATTCATATCAATGCCAATTTTCAAGCATTTACGCACTTACGTAACAAAACAAGATTTTTAATAAGGTAAAAAAGAAGCAAAAAAGAAAGAAAAAACACTGTTATTTTAAAATTTAAAACTCATAACAGCATTGAGAAATCAAAATATTATCATTATTTTGTTATTACAATATGGATTTAACTAGCAATGCAGGAAATTGTTTAAAATACAGAAATTAAAATGGGGAAATTAAGATTTTAGAAATAATTTAACAGTTAATTGAGTCTTCATAAGATAATTTTTACATTCAATGATTTCTTTTGTAATTTATGTTGTTCCACGTACCTGACATGTTGTTCATGTACCTGACATGGTGTTCCATGTACCTGACATGCTGTTCATGTACCTGACATGTTGTTCCATGAACCTGACATGCCATTCTATGTACATGCCATGTTTTCTATGTACCTGACATGCTGGTCTATGTACCCGACATGTTTTCTATGTACCTGTAATGAATGGTGGCAGTGGCAATGGCTCCTCCTGCTGACTGATGGCGTACACGCGTACCAGATACTGGCGTTGTACTGTACGGGGAGAGGGGAGCGGACCGGGGTGCCTGCTCGGATCCCGCACTAGAGTGTCTAGACCTGCAAACATAAATATATTGGACGTTTGTCCAAAAAACTTTTAAATAGAAGGATTTTCATCCTTATCTAATTTTTCTTTCTAAATTCATCCTTATTTAATTTTCTTTCTAAATTCATCTTTATCCAATTTTACTTTCTAATTTCATCCTTATCTAATTAATCTTTCTAAATTCATCCTTATCAAATTTTCTTTCTAAATTCATCCTTATCCAATTTTACTTTCTAATTTCATCCTTATCTAATTTTTCTTTCTAATTTTATCCTTATCTAATTTTTCTTTCTAAATTCATCCTTATCTAATTTTACTTTCTAATTTCATCCTTATCTAATTTTTCTTTCTAATTTTATCCTTATCTAATTTTTCTTTCTAAATTCATCCTTATCTAATTAATCTTTCTAAAAGTGAGTGTTTGCGTAATTTTAAGATGTCAATGCCCGATTTACATCAGCACCCCTGAAACTTAATCTGAAGATGTGGAAGATATTGTCATTTTTCTAGGTTTCGTTGTCAAATTCTGATGATTCTAAAATGGTTATCTATAAAAGATCAAAAGTACTGAGCTTTATTCAATTATAAACATTGATATCAAACTCAATCTTGATTAAACAAATCTTACTGCTGAGAATCGGACATTGACATCTTTGCATTGAGGGTCACTTGAGTTACGCTTACAGTCCCTTTAAACTACAGCAAATGCCTATTGCCTATCTACATGTTTGTACATTGTACATAAAGTAGAGTGATTAAAGGTAAACTAAAAAGTGCACTTGTTCGAGTTGATCATATCCTAGATCTTGTAAAAGAATCGGTCAATAAAAAACCTAATAGTAATCTAATTGTAATCATATAATTTGTAGAATAAGATTCTTAGATAGATAGATACTAGATAGATACTTGCTTAGTCAATTATCAAAGACTTAGAATTAATGATGGTCGTAATTACCATGATTCATCATAGATTATAGATAGTATTTTTCATTGCATTAGGAAAATATGAAAATAGAAAGTTTGAAAAATAAATAGATAGAAAGATCGAAAGATTTCTATATAGATAGAAAGAAGTGCTTAGGATACCGATTCGGATTCGCAAAAATATGCGGATCCACGGATCCGGATATCAATCAAAAACTGCCAAAAAAAACTTTTTAATTCTTTAACTTGTATCTAAAATGGTAAAACGAGAAATTACCAACAACTTTCTTATCACTAAATGGATCATCAAGTTCATAAAAATAAGCGAAAAAGGGAAAAAAAAAACAATTTGAATTTTTTTTCTTTTGTTTAAAAACTCAGAAATTTTCATGACCTGGATCCGGATCGATTTTTTCCCAGTGTGGATCCAGGATCCGGATCCGCATCAAAAATAACTGGATCCTAAGCACTGATAGATAGATAGATAGATAGATAGATAGATAGATAGATAGATAGGTGGATACTGGATAGCTACCTAGGGTCCTCTGAGTTTGTATTATTAAACTGATTAATATGCCCAGGTTGTGAGTAGATCTGGTCCTGATCAGATCCCTGGAGAGGAGTAGATGGCTGTGGGGAGAACGGGTTGTTGAGGTTACTAAACAAATAAGGTCAGGTTGNTAATATAAACTGTGCAGTGTATAGTGTATACTGAATACTAAAATTGTAATATAAACTGTGCAGTGTATAGTGTATACTGAATACTAAAATTGTAATATAAACTGTGCAGTGTATAGTGTATACTGAATACTAAAATTGTAATATAAACTGTGCAGTGTATAGTGTATACTGAATACTAAAATTGTGATATAAACTGTGCAGTGTATAGTGCATACTGAATACTAAAATTGTAATATAAACTGTGCAGTGTATAGTGTATACTAAATACTAAAATTGTAATATATACCGTGTAGTGTACAGTGTACACTGAATACTAAAATTGTAATAAATACTGTACAGTGTACAGTGTAGACTTAATAATACTGAATAATCAAATGTGAAATACAGTATACGGTGTACTGCGTACGACTTTATATAAAGTCTGCTAGAAAGAATCAAGAAAGTAGATGAGCTTTATATAAGATGTATCAGAAAGCGTAGTACATTATTTTAAAAAGTACCGGTAACAACTGGATACTAGGTTGCAAAGTGCAATATGTGATTAAGGAGTATTATTGAACCAAGCTGGTTACTGGATACTAGAAATTGGATACTGGAATATAGAAACTGGACTATAGAAACTGGAATATAGAAACTGGATTAAAGAAACTGGACTATAGAAACTGGACTATAGAAACTGGAATATAGAAACTGAATACGGGATACATACTCTGGAATCTGGATACTGGATATATTACCTAAGTGCACCAGGAGAGTTAGGAGTAGTATTAAACCTAGCTGGATACTGGACTATAGACACTGGATACTGGATACTAGATACTAGAAGCTGGATACTGGATTTTAGATACTGGATATAAGATTCTAGATACTGAATAATAGATACTAGATACTGGATAATAGATACTAGATACTGGATAATAGATACTAGATACTGGATACTGGATATTAGATCCTAAATGTAACTAGATACTGGATACTAAATACTTGACTATAGATACCGGATACTGGGTACTTAATACTCAATACTGGATAGATATATTACCTAAGTGCACCAGGAGAGTAAGGAGTAGTATTGAACCTAGCTGGATACTGGATATTAAGACTAAGACCACTTGAATGCCTGGATCTACAGAGTCGAGGCTGTGCAGAGTTGTGTCGGGATCTAAGAAGTAAACAGTGGTTAAAGGGACTGTAAGCGTAATTTTAAGTGACCCTCCATCTAAATATGGCAATGCCCGATTTACAATGGTACCCTTGAAACCTTAATCTCATTAAGTATATGAAAGATACCGACGATTTTCTGTCGATAAGTGTTTATTTCTGTAAGTTTCTTCGGCCATTGCCTATTTTAAAACCGCAAATGAAAATAACACTATCAAAATGATTGATATATAATTTATACTTGATCAGAAAATGCTTACAAGGGTACCATTGTAAATGGGGCACTGCCAGCATTGCATGGAGGGCCACTTGAAAGTACGCTAACAGTCCCTTTAACCCATTTAATTGTTTAAAGAGACTATCCCAGTCTTTCTTATAAGCAACAAAAGCGCAACTCACTTTCGCAGAAGTGTTTTAAACCAAAAACAAGCTTGAACAGACAAAATTTTTAAGTGTACTGTAAACTGTTGTAAATCGGGCATTGTCATTTGCTTGCATGAAGGGTCACTTGAAATTACTCTTATACAGATTCTTTAAGCTATTTTTCTTTTCTGAAACTACCTGTTGAACGGAATGGGAGTTCCCTGCGGAGATATGAACGGTGTACTAGACTCAGACGCAGAACCATAGGTAGCAGCTCGTGATACATCACTACACCCAGATAGATGGTGATTCCGTCCAGTTCCTTGGCAAATACAGATTTATACATCTATATTATATAAGTATAAAGTCGTAATCTCTGTTTGACTGCCTGTTTGTCTGTCCGATCATAACTCATAAACACCTTGACCGATTTGTCTCAAATTTAGATTGGGGAATTTGGTAGAGCCACGGGGACATTCTTATCTTAATTTAAAAATTCTAAGTTCAGTACTTTTAAAGGGAAATCAGGGTTCCCAAGCTGGCATACTTACATACTAACTATCAATTTGGTTTGTCAATCAGTCTGCTATATCCAATTGAAGTCAAAACGGCCGGACCGATCGGGCTCAAAAATCCTAGGTGTTTATGTGCAATTTTCTACTCAGTATACCAGGAGAGATGTTTATTCTGTACATGTACACTGTAAACCCGAAAGAATGTTTAATGTACATATGTACTCTATAAACCTACAAGGATGTTTAAAGTGTACATATGTATTATGTACCCTATAGACCAAGAAGGATGTTTATAGTGAACATGTAAACTATAAACCTGAAAAAATGTTTAGTGTATATGTGTCCTCTATAAACCTGGAAGGATGTTAAAAGTGAACATGTGTACTCTATAAACCTGGAAAGTTGTTAATTGAGTACATGTGTACTCTATACACCTAGAATGATGTTTAAAGTGTACATGTATACTCTACATACCTGAAAGGATGTTTATAGTAAACATATGTACTCTATAAACCTGGAAGGAAGATAGAGTTCATATGTACTCAATAAACCTAAAATAATGTTTAAAGTGTACATGCGTACTCTATATACCTGGAAGAAGATGCACAGGAAGAGCTGACCCGGAAGAATGCCTTGATCTGAGCATATGCACTGGAGTACTTCTAGGAGACACAAAGGGGGAGGCGGGTGGGGACTGCAGAGCTCCTGATTTAGGAGATATAGGTTGGAAGGAGAAGTGACGTCTCCTTGTACCAGGAGAAGGAGGAATAGGACAGGTGGAGAAGGAACTGACAGGATCTGTAACTAAAAATCGAACAGTTAAGCACAAGCACAGATAATTAACAATAACAGAAAGAACACTAATGTCATATTTTCAAGATTTAGGGGTTTTTCGTTCAAAATAACCCTAAGGCAGTAGCCCAAAGGTGTAGCCCATATGCTCTTTCTCTCTGTCTTGTAAGTCAACTGCCGCATGCGCGTAACTCCTTTAGGCTTCTGCCTCAAGGCTATTGTGAACGAAAAACCCCCTAAATCTTGAAAAGACGACGTCTGGTGTTCTATTTGTTATTGTTAATGAATCTATGAGAACAAGAATATGGTTTCATGAAGCAGGGGTCCTTATAATTTCATCTAATTCTAATACGATCCCAAATGTTAATTGATTGATAATAGGGGCAGAAATTAACCATGCTGTTGTTGTAAACAATTTGAAGTTTGATGCCAAGTTAAAGACAAAATTCCATACTGCAGTATGTATACGGCAAGGGAGTGTTTATTTTTCTGTATATCATAATTTATCTCGTATATTGTTTACTGATATTAACATCTTTTAACACCCCAAATGCAGTACACATTTCTTAAGTGTAGTACAAGTACACAAAAAATGTTCACAATGACACAGAAAATGTACTTTCAATCCCATTTGAAGTTGTTAATCCCTAGACCAAGCATTTATCCGTATCATTTGTTGTCTACGGGATTAAAGTAAAATCGCTTGGTCGGAGCCAACCAAAGAAATCAATAAATTGAGGAATGGAGCACATATCCCTCAATTTTAAAAGTTGCCACAGTTGATATCGAGTTCAAGCGGTACAAGTTTTAACCTCTGATAATAAAATCATAAACTTGGTCAAGAGAATATTCATAAATTGTTGTAAATTGTCGGGAATTCCACATTTAAAAAAGATTTCAGGCAGGGTTTCATTTTTCCCAAAATTACAAAAGTTGTTTCGTCGCTTAAAATCTGTATTTTTACCCCTTTTTGAAAAAGTTAAACAGTTCAACAATTCAGTGATAAAAACCTAAATAAATTTTTCTCCGCGCGCAGAAAAAAAACCAAAAAAAACCTTGTTTCATTAAATAATATTTAACCTGTAATAGGGTTGAAAGACACTCTTCTTCTATTTGAAAGATTTGGAGTTGAATCCATAGGATTCACCATTACCACACTAGGCTCAGACTAAACAAAGAACATTAAAGAACAATATAAATATCAACCAATCAATCCTCATTCCGTTAGTAGTGTGTAATATTGTGTGTATATGTTGTACTAAATACTGCGTAGTAGGTGGATGTAGATTGTTGAATGAAGCATGTGCTATGTACTATGTTTTATGTGCTGTGTTCTGTGTACTTTTTCCTCTTGTACTATGTACTAGAAAAGAGGAAGGAAAAGGAGGAGGAATTTTAATATCTAAATGACTGTTTCTCAACTTTGATATTGTTTTATTAATTAGAAAAAAAATTCAAATCGGACACTCTTAAAGAACTAACCTGAGGGAGACTTCAAATTTTTCTCTAGAATCTCTCTGGACAAATTCAACATCAAAATTTATAATTTAATTGTTTTATTGTTTTAAAAATTTGAAATTAATAAAAGCAAGCTGAAGCATTCAGCAAGCATACAGTCTTTAAAGCAAAGAACAATGATAATTAAGAAATAAACAAGGTTAACAAAGTCTTAACCCCATTGAAGATCAATGTGAGTTTAGGCAATTGCAAGGGGGGGGGGGGGGCACAAAGAAAAGATCAATGAGAGTTTAATATTCCTAAGCTGTGAAATCTTTTTATTTTCAGCTGACTGCGAGGATCCGTTCTCTAGTTCTCCAGGTGTAAAATATCTAGAAATAGATCAATTAAATATTAATATCTAGAAATTTACAGGGTGAGTCAAAAAAAAGTGTGATTTGCGGCGCCTGGTGCAAAAGTGTAACTTTTTTTGTGCAACTCTTCTATATGGTGTTTTTTTTAGTATTTTTTGAAAATTTGTATTTTTTTTGGTTCTTCAATGGCCCAAAAAAAAATTCGCGAACCTTTTTTCTTTCAAAATCAAAAGTTTAGAAAAACAAGAATGTGTAAATAAATTGTTTCTATTGAAATCTAAAATTTAAAAAAGATTGAATCATAGAATCTCAGAAAATTCGCAATTTTCAGTTCTGGTATAATTTTACGGAAAAATTGTTTTTCAATGATTCTTAAGGTTTCAACCGAACAGCGTATATTTAATACTTTAGAATATACTAAGAAGAAATGAACTAGAGAATTTAAATAACTTTTTCTTAAAAATTAGGCTAGAACTGAAAATTGCGAATTTTCTTAATACAATTTTGCCAATTTTCTGTGATTCTGTGATTCAATCTTAATAAAATTTTAGATTTAGAGAGAAATAATATGAATACATAGTTTTGCTTTTCTGAACTTTTGATTTTGAGAGAAAAAAGATTCGCGGATTTTCTTTTGGGCCATTGGAGAACCAAAAAAAAATTACAATTTTTTAAAAAATATTGAAAAAAACAGCATACAGGAGAGTTGCACAAAAAAGG